AAACAAATGCTGTTTTAGCTGTAAATTCTTGACCCGATGTTAGCATATAAACAGTAAATGTGATTCCGGCGATCATAAATGGGATGACAACCCAAAGCACGTCAATGCTAGACCACCAATAGTTAGCAATTCTCAGTGTATGTAACTCTTGATGTCTTGTTTTTGACACTCTATCCATAAACGGCTTCTCCCATCCAAATAGTTTCAGAAGTTTAATGTTATTCAATACTTCACTGATTTGTTCCATACGTTTGTCTTTCAACTCCATTTGTTTAGTTTGCAAGCCATTGATTTTTCTCATAATTAATGTATTGAGTGGACCCACGATTGCCATCATTACAAATAAAGTCAGTGATGACGGACCCAATTGTCGCCACAGAATATATCCACCAATCATTAGACTTAAAGGTACGGCATATAAGCTGGTCATCGACCGGAAGAAGTCACATATCTCCGTCACATCGACACCCATTATGTTATTGATATCACCTTTAATTTTATTTATAAATTACAAACTTTTTCAATAAACCAATTATCGCTTACCAGTCGTATATTCCCGACGGGAAGCCGCACTAAGTCTAAGCATTTTCTGATAGATAGCGGATATGAGGGCCGCCTGTACTCTATAATAGGCTATCATTATAAACATAAATAAATGACAGTCCAGTAGTCGACTCAATAGATTGAAGAAACAGTAAGCCATCGCATAGTAGACTCCGTGCCACATATGGTCCGAGTCGGACACAAAGTCTATGATTTTCTCCAAAATGAAGGGCTGAATCATTTCGGAGCACACGTTCCCCAACATCAGGATAGCGGCCACTGAATAGGGAGCCCATGCCGTCCACCAGATTAGTGGCAATAGACTTATTTGACATTTTAATTGATTTGAATTATATTTCTTGTTCACTGTTTCATACGTTTGGTAAGAATTCTTTGCTTTCAGATAATTACAGATCGGAAGCAAATGTTGAGACAAATCATTGTATGATTTGTATCCGTGTTTTAAGATGTTTTTGATCCAAACAACAAATATTTTCGAGAATATATTGAAGTCTTTCATCGGACAATTGGATTCACTGTCGGACTCCAATACTTCAAATTCAGATAACTTTTGTGTCAAACATGAGATAATTAATGCTAGAAATGTGAGAAATACTTCTAACCCATTTAATACTGCTTCAAACTTAGGAATATTCTTGTAGTTCAACACAAAAAGTTGATACAAACTAATTGATACAACAATTAAATTAGTGAACCATTGAATAGGTATTGAGTTTGGGTGTCGGTATCCAAACCGACGGAATATTAAAACGAGTATTAATATTAAAAAATATGCAAACAATTTGATTGAATGCATTAATACTTCACTAATAGTTAATAAATTCACTTCATTTTTAAAGTATTCCCACAAAGTTTTTGTGATATTTGTGATTGAGATAATAGATAAGCACACAATTGTAAGCTATAAACAAGAATTTGAATTTTCAATACAAATAAATTTAATTTCAAAATATATACCAAATGTGAGATATTTCTCCATTGATAGGGAATTGGCGGTAATTTTTGATTGGATTTGCGGACAACATATATATCGTACGGAAGAAGTAGTAATAGGACTGAGAGTGGAATCACTGGTAATACTGTTTGTGTGAAACAGTCGGTCAGTACCGGGATATCGGAATCCCAACTCAGAGTCCAATTCTGGAAATGTTATGAAAAATATAATATTCAGATATTATTTAATACAATAAACTTCATGTTTATGATACTGAACTATTTTATAATTAAAACAAATTAATTGAAATATTGTATAATATAAATATTTATAATATTCATTATGTTTGTTAATTCTATAGTGATATAAAGTTTGATAAATTTATACATACAGTAAGTGGAGAATTGCAAAATACCACACTCTTTCCCATAATTTTGGATAAATTTACTTTCAATTATGTAAATATTAAGTATTTAATTGTTATGAAAATAAGTAACTAGTGTAAAATTTAGTTTTTCATTGAATACAAACACTTATTATATAAATTAATAAATAAGATGATTATAAATAAATTTGAATCTTAAAAAAACTTTTCACAAAGTTTAAGGTTATATAGTATATACCCTTTGGTTTGAATAAATAATTTATGAATTGCACACAACTCGCGAAATATTTCTATTACTCGTTAATCGAGTGCTCATTAAATGTTCACAAATAAATAATTTGCAATTTATATCGATATTAATTATCATTAGGACCATATAATTCCGGGTGTACATGTATAAAACTACTGCATTAAACAGGTTTTATTTGAAAGTAAAGGATGTTCAGTATACAGGGAGCGGATTAAATATGCGGATAGAGCATAGAAAAGCAGGATGGCCAGAAATGGCCATATTACAACATTTGTAATGACATTCTCAAAACCCATACACTGGTTATTTATTTTCATAACAATTAAATACTTAATATTTACATAATTGAAAGTAAATTTATCCAAAATTATGGGAAAGAGTGTGGTATTTTGCAATTCTCCTACCCATACACAAATTCAATTTTATTTTATATGAGTTGGATGTAAGAAAACTTATTATATAAAAGTTGAAATTAATTAGAAAATGTGAAAAATAAGTCATAAAAGTAATGATTTCTGTGAATTATTTTTTAAGTCATTTGAACCAGGTACTGACAATCAATAACATTTGCTCTTGTCTGGGATAGAGACATAGCTACAAAACATGTTATAAGCTTTTAAACAAATATAAACCCCTGGATACTGTATATTGAAATGTGTGATAAAATTTAGTACTATAAAGGCTGTGTATTAGGGTGGATATAATACATGATATTTTTTCCGTCATGTATTATACACGTATTATACAATGTATATAGTGTATTATTCATGTATTTTTCTAAATAGGCATAAATAATAGTAAATATTGATTTATATCATACTTTTTAAATAGTTACTTTAATTTTATCAATAAATTGAATATAAAACTAACCAAGAATAAACTTCTGAATGTTTTGCAAGTTTAATTTTCAATCCATCTCAGTTTTTGATATTTTTGTTGTACAAATTGCATGAAATATTGTCAACCATTTTGGGAAAAGTTTCCTAAACACATGATTTTGATTTACTTTTACTCATTTTTAATCAAATAAAATTAATTAATATAATAATTTTGATTTTCAAACAATATTTACAAGACTTATGTTTGAATAATATTGAAAATAATTAGAAATTTGACAGTTTTCTCAATAGGGGCGGGATTTCATGTATGTATGGTAAATGTGCTCATGTATTCTACATGTATAATACGTAGAATAATACACATGTATTATACATCCAATGTATGGCAATCCACCCTACTGTGTATAACATTTCTCTATCCGCGTATTTAATTTTCTACATGTAGATAAGACAATCTTATAACTTATTTTGTGTTAGATGTTTACAAAATATTTCATGTGATTGTATTAATGGTGTTGTGATTGGAATGCAATTTATTTATTTTATTTGAATGTTTTAATTTATGTATTAAATCATAAAGTCAGTTTATTATATCGAGTTTTGAAATGATATTTATATTGTTTTATATTTGAATGAATTAATTTATAATTATTAAAGTGACATTCATTTCGAGTCTTGTACTGACATTTAGACCAAAAACAGTGGAAATAGTGATAAGTGTTGAGTGTATTAATGGTGTTGTGATTGGAAAGCATTTTATTTTACAAGACTTATGTTTGAATAATATTGAAAATAATTAGAAATTTGACAGTTTTCTCAATAGGGGCGGGATTTCATGTATGTATGGTAAATGTGCTCATGTATTCTACATGTATAATACGTAGAATCAGAGCTCCTATCGGTTGTGAGTTTTGACCAAAAATAGAGGTCTCTTCACGCATAATAGATTTTACAAAAGTTTTTATATAAAACATGAAATAATGTTTAATGTATAAAAATAATTTTAATATATTAAAATATGGTTATATAATAATTTGAGAACAAAATTAACTAACTAAATAGTAAACTAAATTAGCTTAATGGTGAACAAAATTAACTAAATAGTTAACAACATTAATTAAATAGTGAACTAAATTAGCTTAATTGTGAACTTAATTAATTATATTGTGAGCCTATTTTCTAAAATTATAACCACACTCTAAAATATTAAAATTATTTGTACATTATTTATATCCAT